AACTTGTAAAGATCTTTCCCAAATCCTTACATTGTCCTATCAAGATTATGATTAGGGTTGACCTTGTTTTGTAACGTTTGGAAACACATATTCTTGAAAAGTTCTGAACAAGATTCTGATTGAATCTTTGCAGGAATAGTCAGTTTCTTATGTTGATTGATCCTGTTATTTTCTTGTTAAAATCCTGATCTGATCTGGTTATCACCCCTGACAGGATCCTGATTCGAGAATTTGACCAAGATCCTTACAAGAACCTGATAAAATTTTTTCAAAATCCTCTCTCATAATCTTGTGAGGATCCTCTATAGGATCCTGAGAAAATCCTGATAGGAATCTGAAATCTCGACTCAGAAAAATATCTGAGCAGGAACTTGAAAAAATCCTAAACAGGATCTTGTTTCACCTCGACAAGTCCTGGAAACAGGAATTTCTAGGATTCGAGACAGGATCCTGAATAAAACTTACCAGGATCCTTGAGATTCAGGATCCTGACAGATCCTTTCAGGGTTTCTCAAGGAATGAACAGGATTGAGACTAGGGAGCCCAAGAAATACTAACTTTAAGAAGATACTCCATCTTCTTAGTTGCTTCTAGTCATTCTCACTACGATTGATTCTCGTGAGAAAAAATCACTACACACGAAATAGACTAACAAACTTTGTTAACCATCGAAATTCAGATTTGCTGAAACTGACTAATCGTGTTGTAATAATCAAAGCCAATTCAGTTCGAGAGAGAGAGAGAATGGTGTTTAACCCATTCACCACGATTCAGTTTTCTTGGAAAATTCTTCGGAATATTCATTTTCGTCAAAATTTAACTTCTAATAAATGCACTTAGTGATCTTTTCATTATCTTCTACTGATTATTCATTGTTCTCTTCTTTGTGTCATTGCATAATGAGTCATGTTTTTGCGACCATACGAAAAATCCCTCAAGTTTTTTTTTATTCTTTTATGTTCTATACGTAGTACACGTAAGATAAAAGAACGAAATTTCCAGTTTTTTCTTTCTTATTCTTCTCTCTGTCCTTATATATATATATATAGAAGTTGGCTGCTATAAAAAAATCCGGCAACAACAATCAAGAGAAGCCAGTAATGCAACAGCAAAGAAAATAAAAACTTTCTGTTCTGATTGTGATACTTTTTTTTATCTTGATTGTTTCAATGAAAAACACCATCCTATGTAATAAATAATTCCAACAATAGCGAGATCGATTAGATGACAAACTATGTACAGTCTTCCACTCGAAAGAAGGGACATAAACTGGTTTTCTATTAAGTGTGTTCTTAAGCCCCAGCGGGTCCAACCGGTGGGACCCGTCGTGGTGAATGGGTTAAATGTTGCTCTTACAAGAAGATGGCTCTGTTTTCGTCTCTATACTGAATGAACAGTGCATCTCTTGAGTGTTTGAACAGATAAACACATCGGATTTCGACGAAAAGATCGAGAACAACAAAGATACTGGTTGAGTGACATATTCGTCTGTTCTGCTGTTCCATGAGGGTGTGGGTGTGCTAGCACTGACTATATAGTTTATTAGAAAAAGAATGAAGACGAATATGTCCAACAACAATAATCAAAAAAAGGAAAATGCGCGTCTTTATATGTGTTGGTACAATCGCGCCATAGGTTCAACAATAGTATATAGAACGATGATCACGCGATATGTAGAATAAAAGATTATTGGAAGATGATCATACCATATATAGAACACAAAACATAATGTAATTAAGATGATCAGGTGATGACAGGGCCATCAAGGGTTACCTCGATAACAAGCTTGTAGTTTATATTGTTTGAATTAGTTGTTGGTGAATTTGTGAGCGTTTGTTTATCAAAACATGCTTATGCATTTTGTTTATCATCTAACCATTTTAAATCTTCAATCTTTTGAGTATATTCTAAAAACTGTTCTGTATTTTGTGGATTTTTTAATAACACCTCAAAACGTAATGAAGGTTTTAATGCATCCTTCAAAATATTGCAGCTTATGAGCGTCATCCATTAATGGATTAGCTTCTTTGCACAATCTCATAATATCGAAGTCATATTGTCTTACATCTTCATTTAAACCTCGTTCAAAAAGACGTAAACGATAAAATGAAATACCAGAATTCCTGAAGATTCAAATGTTTTTAGTATATTTTTGATGAATATAGTATATGTCGAGCATAAATGTGGATTATCATAGAACCAATCTCGTGGACCTGCTGCTAAACATAACGATATATAAAATAATTCTTCCCTATCTGTCAATTTAAACATATTCATAGTGTGTTGAATTTCTCGTAACCATTTAGATACATGTTGGTTTGAGTGATCAGAAATTTTTTGTAATTTTTCAATATTTGTAATCAACATCTGATTTCGGAAACAATCCATAACAGTTTCTGTTGAATCAACCATTTCCGGTCCCATTAATGGTGTTGGTGATAGAATGAATGTTTGTGGTGATTCTGTTTTTAATTCTTGATAAGAGTCATCATGAAGAAGCTTTTTCATAAATGTAGTAAACGTTGGCATATGTTCTTCTTGGTGAACATACCAAATAAGTGCTTCACCAGTCAATAAATTTGGAATCAGTTCATTTCGTTCAAGAGATAACATTTGGAATACACTAAATTTTTCTATAACACCTTTTCATCAATACTTTGGATTCCCATGTACATCAAATTTTTGAATTGACTTTAACTGTAATTGAATTGAAGATTGTTGTTGTTCACTTAGAACAGGACACTGATCATGTAAATCATGACCACGCGCATATTTAATTGAATTCATTAGATTCTTATCAGTTTTGGTTGAATCGATTATAGTCATGTAGAATCAACACTGAGTTGCTTATGGTTTGTCATCGATAATAGTGCTTGTTTTCTGTTATAGCCGGCAGAAGTAAAGAACAAATAGTTGTCTGTGTAAGATCTGTTGTAGATCGAGTTGATTTAAAGTTCATTCATTTTTGTTGCTTGCCTGCCCGCAAATTTGTGTTTAGCATCAATTGGCTAGTGCACCATTTGTTAGGATCTCTCCTGTTTATTTTATGAAGACTATATCAGATAACAAAACAACAACATATATCCTAACCTCTTTACACACACGAACATGTCCCTCTCTCTCTCTATATATATATAAATGAAAAAGAAGGTAAAGAACAAGGCGAAGGTTCGTCCACCTATAATAGATGGCGATTCTGACAATAATTTCTACTTAAAATAAATATGAATGAGAAAAAATATTCATATTTTAACAAATTATAAATTGTCGTAGGTTATAATTTGTTTTAAATATAAATTATCCATGGTTTATATTTAATTTAATGTAAGTTAAATGGAAAATTACGCTCCTAATGACACGGCGCGGTTTGTTTATACATGATAGAAGCATGGTAAATATATATTAGAGAAGCATAGCTGTTCACATGTATATACCTGTTATAAAAAATAAAGAAAAAGAGCAGACATGAGTATAATAAGTAAGAAAAAATCCATGGACAGAATATTTTATCGTTCGGGTTGTTTTCACGTATACTAATCATGTTTCTTGTTTTGTTTTCCTTTTTACACACGAAGGCCTATGATACAAGCACATACAGACAACCAATAAATTTATTTCACTATATGATTGCCTACTGGGATGTTCGATAATCATAGAACCATTTAGATGAAGACTATAACAAGGTAGGATTTTGAAAAGTTCGATAAATAGTTTGACAAATAGAATACAATTTCTGGTTTCTCAGTGTCATATATGGACTGCATAGCTGTTTTTTTTTAAAGATTTTTATTTTGTCATTCGTAAGTTCTTTCTATAAGTTTGATACATGTCTGCTGCTAATGATGTAAAAGTCTAATTTAATGACAACCACAATAAATTATGATGATTTGTAACAGTGAGAATGTAAAAGTAGAAAAAAAAAGAAATAGTGCATCTTATAAAGTGTTTTAAAAAAAGAATTGAAATATACCATCAAAGAGTAGTCGTTAATATTAGCAACAGATTTAATGAGTGTTGCAATCGATTTTGAGACTATCCAAGAGATAATTAGAGGTACTAGATTATACAGGGTGGTTCAGAAATCACCCGGTACTCTTTTATTGCGAACAGTTTTTAATATGAACAAGATAGAGAGCCGCGGTTTTCACTCCTCGAAACAGGCTGTATTACTGCATAGTTTCATATGATGTTTAACAACGTCGATTGATTACAAAAATGTAACTCAGTGATCGTCTAAAAAACAATGATAGTGCCATGAAGATGACATCGGATAGGATGACAGAAAAATCCCTTGACAAGATTTAATTCCTGTCTAACCTTAAACGATGTAAATCACTTCAAATCATATTCAAATTAATTTCCTTGCATCTGTAAGTTTGTTTGCAGCTTCTTCGTGATAACTCTTCTCCAATTCATCCTTCGAATATTTTACTGTTGCTGTGCACAGTCCTTTTCAATAGAATGCATATTTAAAGAGAATATAAAGAAAAAGAAAAAGAAGGAGGAAAAAAACACAGAACGCAATAAAAAAACTTGGTCATGTTGCAAAAGTATGAATCAAGTCATATAAAAAAACGGCAAAACAGCGTATGATGTAAAAAAAAGTCACATCAACAGCAAACGTGTTGGTTGCAATTATTTTACTGAGGTGACAGAATTATTAGGAAGATTCAAAAAAGCAAAGAAACTATTTTGAATGCTGTAAACTCAGTACCAAGACACTGCGAATATTAGGAGCATTTAATACAGATATGACATTAACAATCATGATCTACTGGACATAAACCGATGGATACGTCAATGTATGTCAGTCATCACCTGTGTTGAAGCTGTAGCTATGCCGTAAAAATTGTTCGAAAATCAGTGTTTAACTACGGTTCTTCTTGATTTATCTGCATGTCTTACTTTATGAATATTTTTAATCTACTAGTAAAATGATTGATTTCAGTTAAGATGACATTTTCTAATTGTCATGAATGCGATCAAGTCATATGTACTAGCTACAAGCTACAATTACATCGACTGTTTTCCGTCACTGAAAGTTTGACTATCCATTAAAGATAGCATCACAAACAAAGTCATTGGTTGAGACGTGAGTGTGGGTTTGATAGGGAGTACGTGGTGTGGTTTTTCAATGTGAAAAAATTAGATCCGCAATCAGATTAAAACCGATTCAAGTCATACACCTTTTATCCACTATAAAAAAAAATAAAAACAAACTAATTAAATGGCGGCTTTTTCGATTATTTGCTATTTAAATCGATTTTTATTTGGATTACAGGTCTATTTTTTTTTCTATGCGCGATGGTGTGGTTGTGGATACAGATACAAACAGACACTCAACAACATAATTACCCATATCCACACTCAATATACTGAAGTTTAGATTTTGTGTATTTTACTCCGTCGATCAATAGACAAAAATGACACTTGAAGAGCAAATACAAGAGGTATGAGACAAGTTGTAATTTATGTGTTCTAGCAAAGGAAGTTCGACCAAAACGCAACGACTTCCTCAAAGAATCGAAGAGGATTGTTCGAACTTCTCGACAAAAGATATTTGCAGATGTTGTGCCCTAACAAAGATTCGAAGTCGATCCATGAACATTTCGTCTATCATAGGTCCGCACCGACATCCACGAAATCAAACGCGTAATCGACTATACCACTCGTTCTCGCATAAAGCAAAATCTAGAGCTTCAATAGCGCAAATTCGAGCAAGAATTAACCCAGCTTCAAGACAAACTGCAGAAGCAGCAACAACAACAGGCTGCTAGTCAAGCAGAAGAAAACGCAGCCAGTACCAGCGCCTTACCAGGCACTTCTCGATCATATACAAAGGATATATCAGTCTATGCTAGGACAACAGTGCCATCACGATTTCTGTTCGTATCCTACTATTGTTTACAGCATGTAATCAGACCGATAAATTTGTCAAGGCCTACGTTCAAAATCTGGATGATGTCGGCGACTAATCCGAAAACCAGATTCAGTGCTCGTTCGAAAAACGATAAGAATTGATGGTCAGACTTTTCTAGGAGTTTTTATTATTCCAAGGTGCACCATTGTAGTGGCTTTCGTCTGCAAATTCAGAATCTAAAAAATATCAACTATTCCTTGAAGAAAATCGGTCTTGTATATGACATTCAACCCGACCAATCGATCTTCAAAGTCTGTTTCTGATATGGAATTGCATTCTGATTTTCTTCTGAACTTCTCATGTATCTAGGTCAAAAAGGATATGATCATTCTGTCTTTACGAAAAGTCGAGTCGAAAAATTGGGAATGCTTTTTGAAGGACGAGAAGATAGTGCTTACCAAGTAAGTGAAGCCTTGTTGATCCTTCGAGTTACCTTTTGTATAATAAACTCTTTTTTTCTGATGTAGACCGTTGCCAAAACTTGATAAGTCAAATGATTCGAATGAATTTATGAATATGGTGGAGGAAGTGTACGAAAATGGTGATGATGATACGAAACGAGCCATTGCCAAAGCGTGGGTCGAATCACGCGAGAAAGCGAATTATCTCGCCACCAAACCGCGTGATAAGATGAATTCTGGCATTCTCGAAACGCCAGACTTTACACTTTATCCTCCTTAACAGAACTTATTACGAAAAGACATTGTAATTTGGATTTTATGATATTTTTCTTCTAGAGTGATTATTATCAGAATAATTATTCATTGACGACTATTGCTTTTCTTTTTACGTTAACGATTTCCTTTGGACACTTAAACGAATCTATTTCATCCCCAGACAGTGTTTGGTCACTGCTGATAGTACGGAGAGCCAGGTTTTGTTTCATCAGATCGAATAACCAACATTACATGGTGTCAGGGCCGAAGAATCAAGTGGTTCCACATATTAGGGATATCCTTTGATTAAAAATATGCAGAGAGATCTTGATGAGAATGCCGTTTGGAATTGTCATGACGAAGTTTCATGGCACGCGTAGTAGACGCTAGTCTTTTTTTCCGAATTTCACCCATAAGGGGTCCGAAGCAATTATCGATGTAATAGCTGTGGTCATGTCTTCTCACTTGCGAACAAGAAATTGAAATTCAAAAACTTAATTCTAACATGAAATTTTATCTTTGAATTTGTAAAAAAGAAATTAACATTTATAGAGTTCGCTAAATACTAAGTTTCAGCTTTTTTATTCAATCATCTGTAATTTGTAAAGTGCGCACAACTATAGTAGTGATCTTGTTATTCTTTTTAAGTAACTGTAATTTATAGAATTCACCATAGATTACAGTTACTATGCATGTAACTAGCTTGTTGAGTTTAAACTCACCGTATGGTTTTCATTATATAATAGAATTGAACATCGAATAGAAACAATCTAATTGAGACAGCCACATTTATATACAAACAGATAACATATGCAGAAAACGACGTTCAAGACAACAGGATGTTGGAATATGATTTTTAGTGAGAACCTTATCTTTGGTAACATGTTCTGAGTCATCCAAGTTATATTCTTAAGAAATAGTTAATTACCACAACAAATCACGATAAAGCTTCCTTAAAAACTTGCTTGTACTTTTGTCTGCAGTGTTGCTTACCTATATTCATTTTTTTCCTAAACATTGCTCGAGCATTATGGGTA